TTAAGTCTCCCAAGGCCAGAGTTCTGTGTTTCTCTCCCCATTCTCATCTCTACCCCACATATGAGAACTAAAGTTTTTGTCCTACCTATTCTTTGTGGCCATAGGATCCTGGTACAGAAGTCATCAGAGGAAAAAATCGTGAAATTCTAATAAAGTCTATAGCTTTGTTAGTAATATGGTGCCAATGTTAAGATAAGAAGACTACACCAAGCAGCTTTAGAACTCAGGACATCTGCTGATTGAAAAAAAATGGACTGTACATTTATTTGATTAGGGGTTGCAAGTTAGGTGGCAGGGGAGGAGAAGGTAACAGAAAGCAAAGCCTGTGGCATTTCAGACATTTAAAGGAGACCCTTTCCATGCAGACTTGGAATCTTCCCACCCCTTCCAAAGAGTAAAATCCCAGAGTAAAGGCAAACTAAAGTAAACTTGTCACTATATCACCCTCCAAAGGGGACTGTGGGGAGTCTTGCCTTGGAGCGGAACAAAATGGGTTGAGGGGAGTGGTTTGGGTTGGGATGAAAGAAAATTCTTCAAGAGGTTGTAAACTTGGGAAGACACCTCCTGAAAATTTGGTCTCAAACAATTTAGTTTAAGGAGGTTCTAAACAAGTTATACTTTCAGGCTTTAGCAGAAGCAAGCTCAAATCCTCCTTCAAATACAGTTGCATGCCAAGACTTGGGAAAATCCCCACAAATAATTTTTTAAAGGCAATAAGAAGCTATGCAGTCAAACATAATGAACAAAAGGAAATAAAGAAACATGAAAAAATCATCAAAAACAACAGCAGAGAGAGATCCACAAAGTCTTCACCTATTGGACTCATCACATTATAAATGAACACACTTATTGTTCTTAAAGGAATAAAGAGGATAGCTACAGTATGAACGAAAGATAATAAGAGGATATAATTCACAAATTTATACTAATACATTTGGAAATTTAGACAAAATAAACTTTTGGGGAAATAACATCAAAATTGACAAGGAAAATAGACAACTTGGACAGAACTATAACCATTAAATTGAATCATAGCCAAAAATACTATATAAAACAAAATAAAATTATGCCTCCTGTCCTCCTTCCAGCCCTCTCTCCCCCTACCCCCACCATTTCTCTTTTCAAGTCCAGAAGGCTTCCTTGGTCAGTTCTACCAATCATTCTGGGAAGAAATATTCCGATCTTATACAAACACTTCCAGAGCATTAAAAGAGAAAGAAAAAGAAAATATGTGAGAAGCAAACAACTTGACTCATATCATGAAGCCAATATAACCTTGATAGTAAAATCTCATGAGAACAATAAAAGAAAGGAAATTTATGAGCTAATTTCTCCCATAAATATAAATTAAAAACCTACACAAATTATTAATAAACCAAATTCAAAAATATAAGGATACTTCATCATGACCAAGTTGGGTTTACCCTAGAAATGAAAGGTTGCTTTAATTGTACAATATAATAATAATGACACAAAGGGATGGAAATAAGACGATATATATGGACATTGCCTGTATTTGCTAAAAGCAGCACTTGAAGGATAAAGCAAAAAACTTTTAATGTAAGTGGGAAATCAGGTGAAAGGGGCAAAGGTGAGAGGCTTTTGAGGCATGTAAACATATTACTGATTTTTAAAATTAATTTAAAAGTAAATCAATTAATGTAATTAATCCCATTAAATAGTAAGGGTAAAATCACTTGAATACCCTAACAGATACAGAAAAAGCATTTGATAAAATTTAAAACCCATTCAATATTAAACTCTTTAATAAACTAGGACTAGAAGGGAACCTTCTTAATCTGATGAAATATATATGTAAACAAACATCACATTATTTGTGAAATGTTGTAAATAATCCCTCAATTAGGAGCAAGGCCAAAACACCCACTATCACTTATATTAAACATTTTACTCAAGGTCCTATCTGAGGCAGTAAGGTAAGAAAAAAACAAGTAACAGGTTATAAGGATTAGAAGGAACAAAAACTGCCCCTCTTTGCAAATAATATTATCATGTATGCAGACTGAACCTATAGATTAATTATTAGAATATGTAAGGGAATTTAAGGAGATACCTTAATACAAAAAAACCAATATATAATCATATTCCTATACACAATCAGAAAAGAAAAATTAAAAACATTTTTTATAATACTATAACATTGTAAGTATCCAGAAATATATTTTGCAATGATGTACAAGATCTTTCAGAGAAAAATTATAAAACTTTATTGTAAGGCAATAAAAAGACCTAAATAAAGGGATCAGAAAACTTCAAGTTATAATAATATTAATTCCTCATGTATTGGTTTATAAATTCAATACCATACTGAAAATGTCCTGCAAGCTTTATATAACTATAGTATGAGCCTAAGAAATGTAAATGGCCAAGACTGGCTGAGACACTCTCCTAGAAAAACAAAGTGGAAGAACTTGCTCTACCACATATTAAGACATGTTACAAAGCTATGGTAACTGAGAAAAGATGTTGTTCACACAGGGACATAACTAATAGATCAATAACACAAAATAAAAAAGCCAAGAAATACATTCGCACGCATATGGGCACTTGATAAATGACAGGAGGCACAGCAGATCAGTAAGGACAGGTTTTACAATAAATGCTGCTAGAGCAACTGGCTATCTGTATGGAGGGGAAAATGAAATTGAGCCCCTACGTCCACCACACAAAAATCAGTAAGTTGAACAACACACAGAAAGCATTAATAAAGAAAATTATTGATAAAAATTCTACTACCTTAAAATGAAGAACTGCATTCAAGGCATGAATTTTTGAAAAGAAAAAGAGAAAACAGAATATATAAGAAGATACTTGCAACCCATATAAACAACAAGGAAGTCAGAAATAAATATGTAACACTCCTAGAAATTAATGAGAAAAAGATAGACAACCCAATAGAAAAGACTTGAAAGGGCACTTCAAAAAAAGAAATACAAGATATTCAAAGTCATCATTAACCAGAAGAATGCAAATTTAAACCACAAAAAGATATTACCTATTCACAAATTGACAAAAATTAAAAATTCTGTAATAGCAAGTGTTACTGAAGATACCAAACAAGAACTCTCAAACACTCTTCATGGCAATGCACATTGGTACAACTACCCTGGAAACTAGTTGGCACCATCTAGTAATATTAAACATATTCATAGTCTATGACCCAACAATCGCACTCTTAGGTTTATATTTCATTTAAGTGTACACAGATGTGCACTGGGAACAAGATTTTTTTATACAAATATTTTTTATAATGGCCAGAAGTTCCAGAAGCTGGAAATCAAATGTTCATTATTGCCAGACTAGATAACTTGTGGCATATTCATAAATGAAATTCTATACAGCAATGAAAATGAACAAACCATAGCCACCCACAAGATGAATTTCACAAATACAATGTTGAAAAAATTAAGCAAAACCCCAAAGAATGCATGATAGTAATATGATACCAATTGCGCCAAGTTCAAGTAAGTTTAGGAATGCATACATATGTGGTAAAAGGATAAAAGATAAGTAAGGAAATTATCACTGCAAAAGTCAGTATAATGATTGCTTAAATGGAAGGGAAATTATAATACCTGAAAAAGGGCATGGATGGGGCTTTAATACTGCTAATATTGTATTTCTTAATCTTAGTGGAAGTTACACTAGTATTTGCTTTATAATTACTCGTTAGACTGTGCATGTATTTTTACACACTGAGTGTGTATTTTATAATAAAAAAAGGAAAATCTTAATACAAGGATTTTCATCATCAGAGTATTTTGTTATTTCAGTGCTAGCAACTGCAAGGCGACTTTTGGAATAAAAAGTCATCATAAGAGGACAACATTTACTAATGAACTGATCACTTAGTAAACTGATCACTCCAGCCCTGGCAGGGTAGCTCAGTTGGTTAGTGTCATCCAGATACGCCAAGGTTGCAGGTTCAATCCCCAGTCAGGCCACATACAAGAATCAACCAATGAATAAATGGAATGAAATGATGTTTCTGCTCTGTCTCTCTCTCTCCCTTCCTCTCTCTCTCTCTCAAATCTATTATAAATAAATAAACTGATCACTCCACTCAAACGTTCCTGCCTGGAATGCTGTTTCTCTCACTGATTGTACACACCCAGAATATAAATAAAAGGAAAGTCATTTGCACATTCATTCATTCATTCAACAAATATTTATTAATGTCTACTACTTTCCAACACTGTTCTAGGGGAACAGTAAGGTCCTCTAGCAATTTTGCTTCCACCCTTTCATCCTGCCTTCCAAACAAGTATCAAACATGAAGAACCTAAAAGGAACTCAGGGCACACATTAAGTTATTATAAAAACCCCAACCTTGGGGAGTCTTTACACTCATCTGCTTGGATTCATTTGGCAAAATTCAAGAGCCCTAAATCAAGGCACTAGTTTCAACAATGGTGATGCTGTAGGAATCAGCTTAAGTGGGGTCAAAACTCCCAAGAAGCCGGGCCAGCGTGGCTCAGCAGTTGAGCATCCACGTATGATGCAGGAGATTGCACCTGGATTCCCCCTCAGGGCATACATGCCGGGCTGCAGCTGCATCCCCAGTGGGGGGCGTGCAGGAAGCAGCCCATCAATGTTACTCTCATCATTGATGTTTCTATCTCCCTCTCTCCCTTTCCCTTCCTCTCTCTAAAATCAATAAAGATATATTTTTTAAAAAACAACAAAACAAAAACCTCCCAAAAAATGCTTTACCTCGGATCCAGGGACCAGAGGCTTGCAATTTTCCAGAAACTGTATACTAGATTTTGTGTGTACATGTATTTTTCTTGGGTCAGAGTTCAGAACTTTCATCTGATTCTCTAAGGAGTTCAACCAAAAGGGTGAATAGCACTGCTCCCAACAGGCTGAACAGACTAACTTTTTGGGGACATGATGGAAGTAAGAGTGGCCGCAACTACACCAAATGAGTTGAAACTCAGGTGTCCTGACCTCTAGGCCTGTGAATACCCAATACTTACTCTTAGTTCTTCGAAGGCTTCGTCTAGGGTGGAGAGTTGGTGGCCCTGGTGAGCCCCAATGACTGGACAGAGGACACAGATGAGCTGCTTATCTTCCTGGCAATAGGTGCTCAAATCGAGTCCATGGTCCGGACACTTCCTCTGGGCCACTCTCTCTGCTTCCATTTCTATTTCTGGGTCAAATTCACTTTCTGCCTCAGTTTCTCCCTCCGCCTCGGATTCTCCATCTTCGTGGTTGTCCTCCTCCGCCTCGCTCTCTTGGTCATCCTCCATTTCCTCCTCACTGTCCTCTTCGCTCTCCTCGTCGCTCTCCTCCTCCGTCTCGCTCTCCACTTCGGACTCGCGGTCTTCCTCGGCCTCGCTCTCCTCCCCCGCCTCGCTCTCCAGGTCTCTCTCCTCCTCCACCTTGGCCTCCGCGCCTTCCTTGCCCTCGCCTTCCCCCAGGCCTAGGGAGGGCCAGGCCTGGCCTGCGCCGTGGACGTACTCGGCCAGGTGGTGCCCGGGGAACTTCTGCCTGTGGCCCTCGGCGTGGCGGCGGCAGTAGCAGAAGCCGCACTCCCGGCACACTTCCTCGGCCCCGGGAGCCTCGTCGGGCTCGCACTGGTCACACGTGCCGTCGTGCGGCAGCTCCTCGAAGGCCGCGCCCACTCCGGAGGCCATGTGGGTGCGCTGACGAGGCGCAGGCCTCGGGGCCCCGGCGCTCGCCGCCTGGCCTTCGCGGCCGCCTC